TCAATTTTCTCTAGAGACTTCGATTTAAAATAACATTTTTTTGTCGATGATGATGATGAGAATGACAATTCTTCTTCTTCAGGGTTCTTCCATTTATATCATATTAAATTCTCATGAGAAACTGTGATTAATATATCAAAAATTGTTCAGAATGAAATGAAAATTAATTAATTACACATTAAAAGTAAAATAGTATATTTTCAATGTACATTACTTTATACATAATGAAGAAATAAGAGACATATAAATATGAATATTGTGCTCGAACTATTATCATCATCAGTTCAACCATTAAAGGCTGTCACTAATGACAGTTTGCAACAGACAATATTAAATGAGAAAGATAAATCAAGGATTGTGTCAGATCTTATTTCTTTATCATAGTTTTTCAAATTAACTCGTTACAGACATTTAACAATTCATTGTCTTTCTTTCTTTTTTGCTATCTAAGAATATCAATGAGTTTAATCATAATGGCACCAGTATGATATATACATGACATATTTTCTCGTTCTTATTTGCCATCCATTAGTCAGTCAGACGACGACAACGATTTTAGTATCGATGTATATAATAGTGGTGGACATCGCATGTCTATTTACAATAGGAGAAAAGGAGAAAAAGAAGAAAAAAATGTGTATGAACATATATACTTGAATACTTTAATCAAGCGAGAAAAAAAAGTCGACTTCCTATTTTGATTTATCACTCACATTCGTTTATGTCTATTATCGTTGAAATATAATTATATTTAGTAAGACGAGACAAGCATAAACTTTCGTGTTTGATTTTCAAGACTACTAACCATCTGTATGTGTCAACTCAATTGTCTGAATTGGACAAAATAATGTAAAGTGCCGGCGTCATCATTAACGATAGCGACGATGACAAATCGATAAATCAAACATTGCGCATGCGCTATCAAGGCTCTTATAACATTAATTTATGTCTATGCATCATAATAACTTTTTAAATGGAAAAGAAAATAGATCTACTTTTAATAATTCATATAGACAGATATTTTTTTTTTAAACTAGTGCATTTGAGTAATGTGATCCTATTGAATAAATGACTATCATCTTGTTGTTATTCTTTCGTGCGAATATTTTTATCACGAACTGTAAATATTAAGAAGGGTAAATATGATTGAACCAACTGGTGATCAATTCTTGAATTTCTTATAGCACAGCATGAAATTTTTTTGCTAATCAAATTCTAAAGAGTCTGTTAGGGAAAAGTGAATTGTTTCTTTCTGCTTATTAGACAACTTATCATTATTAACACGTGTTGATAGTGATTTCAATCTGTTTGATACCTATGTTAATCAAAATATATATGATGGCTTGTCATTTATTTAATCAGTGGAACGGTCAACTTTCATTTTGATTATGAAGAAAAAGATAATTAGAAATAGATTTCCGTTTTTTTTCTCTACATTCTCATATTTCAAAAAGAACGGCGACCGACACTCCTACTTATTTTTATCTCACTATAATGAACATGATGACAGTGACCGTCATGACATCGCGGAAGCCCCAACAGGGAAACAAAAAAAAAGAAGAGATGTATAATGTCCATGAACATTGTTCACACTTTTTTTTCTTCTTCTTATTCTTGTATGTGGTAGTGAGAAATGAAATTAGTGTATGTTTATAGAAGCGCGAAGCGTCCTTGTCGCTTGTCTAGTCGGACTCGTGCCGTGATGAGACATGCTAAGAACAATATAGTCATTGCCGATGGTCACACTATTTCGTCTTTTAATAGAACTATTAATGAAGCTAGCATGATCATATCTATAGGCATTGATTATTACTTCTTCTTCTTCTTCTTTTTAAACTACATGATTTTAATAGCTTCTTGAAAAACAGAAGGTCATAAATGACTAGCACAGTTTTTTTTACTTCAATTTAAATGATATATATACACTTGTGACTTGTTAAGTTTGAAGTGAAGATTGATGGAAAAGATGTATATACAAATAAAAAGAAAAACTATTGAAAAGGAAGAAGTCACTTAAAAAAGAAAAAAGTTCAATATTATTTTAATGACTATTTTTCGTGAAGAGAAATTTAAACATGAGATGTATTCTTTAACAAAATTTATACATACATACATTTCATGCCTGATGTTTATCAAAAAAAGGTAGTAACAGAACAATGAAATAATAAATCTTAATTCGTACCATCAATTGTACACACCTTTTTTTGTCACTAATGATTATAAATCATTTCATTTTCTCTTGTACAATTAATCTTCCATACTATTTTAGACAACTAGCAATTATTAAATTTCCATCGAATAAGTCAACATCAGAAAAGTATTCAGTATTTTAATTTGACTATATCTGAAATGCTTTTGCTTGATTTATATTTATTAATTTTGTCTTGAAAATGACACTTAATATATCGAAACGTCGATTTTTTGTTTAATAAGATCATCTTAATGCATGTGATACAAAATTAAATAAATCTGATATTTATAAACAGCATACAAATATATATAATATTATTCTTTTTCTCGAATTCGACAAATATAAACTTATTTAATTCATAATAGTTTTATTGTATAGTAATCTCTCGTTTTCTAAACAATCATAATCTAGATGTAGCACATATTTTTCAATTAATGTTGAAGTTTAATTTATTAGCATCAACCTTTTTGCTTTTAGAAATCTTGCCAGTACCGATTGAGATCAATTCAAACAAGATTCACAAAATAAATCTCCACAATGAATATATAATTGATCAAGGAAGTATTAAGATTAACTTTCTGAATTATTTTTTAAGAATAATCTTCGAAAACTCATAAAACTAGATTTATTTATGAACGATTATTAGAAAATGATATGTGATTGTTTCATTGAAGTATAATCGTTTTTCAAAACAACTATTCAGATTTCTAAAGAATATTATTTTTGAGTTCTACTCAATCTCATGTGATGCCATTGTTTAAAGAACGTGATTGAAAAATATTGATTTGCATCAAATGCAAATGAAGTACAATAAAATTATATAGTGTAAAAGTAACATAGTAGCAAAAAGAAAAATGCTATATTAGTTAATGATGTTATAAAACTTGTGTATTTGATATTCTTGTTTTGAAATACAAAACCAATGCTTTTCGATAAGTTATCGATTGCATACGTCAATTGCATCATTTTTATTTTTACAACATGCTGGTTCTTTTTTTTACTTTATAAACTAAAAAATTACGCATTGAAAAAAAAATTCAAACTACGTGAATTTTACCAGATGTTTTTTCTTTAACATAAAGTGCAAAAAGGTAAAGCACTATAAATTACTATTGATTGAAAGATAAAGAAACCGTAACTTGTACTGATTCTACCGCTGTCGATGAGGAAAAAAAATATATTGCAGAAGACGATGCATTCTACTCTGTTCTGTTATGTTCTTTTTTTCTCACCATGCGCCAACGTCATGAGAATAATATTTTTAGCCTTCTATAGGAGAACAAACACGCAATGTGAAGGGCGTCACTTCGATTTTTTTATCCGACGTATATATATATACATGTATGTACCAATAGTTTTGCATCATATTTATTTTCTGATGAAATCATGGTAAGTTCAAATCTTTTTAATATAAAGATTTTGAAATATATTCGTCATCATAGACTGAAGAAGAACAACAACAACAAATACCACTGCATACAATATCAGCTGATGTAGCTGAAAAAACTCCAGCATCTTTTTTAAAAAGAATTTATCAACGATTACATGCACATTCAGGAATATGGTATATGTTAACAGCAAATATTATATTTTGTTGTGGTACATTTATATTAAAATTAATTCCAGCTGATATGTTTGATATAATGATTATTCGATTTTCAGTACAAGCAATTGTATTTGGTTCATATGCTGCATTTTATAAACATTATAATCTTTTTGATACAAATGGTCAACCTATTGCTAGTGCATTAAATGTATTAATGTCAAGTGGAACAAATTTAAGTTATTTAGCTGCATTCTATTTTCTTCCATTATCTGATTTAAATACTATAAAATATACTTATATTGTTTGGGCAGCAATTTTATCTGTTATATTTCTTAAAGATCGTTTTAAATTTGTAAATGGTATTTCATTAACATTAACTGTTGCTGGATTAATACTTGCTACAAAACCTCATTTTTTTATTAAAACATTAAGTCATTTATTTGATGTATCAAACTCAAATATAACAATAACAACAACAACGACGACAATGGCTACAGCTTCGATTATTATATCTGCAGCTAAAGTATCAACACTTTATTATCTTGGCGTTTTTTTAGCGTTTATATCATCATTAACAAAAGCGATACAAATGATTGCACGAAAACAGTTAGTTAAAACTAAACAACCATATTCTGTTATGAATTTTCAATTTACAGCTTTTGCTTTAATTATATCAATACTATATAGTCTTATTCGACGATTATGGTTACCAGAACCATATCCATGGAAATGGATGTTTACAGTTGGTATTCTTATTGGTTGTTTACAATTAATAACAAATACATTCTATGCGAAAGCATTGAAAAGAGAAAATGTTCAATTATTATCAATAATTGGTGCACTTGATATACTTTATGCTTGTATATTACAATATATATTTCTTCGATTAACAAAATCTTGGATGTTTTATGTAGGTGCATCATTTATTGCTCTTGCAGCAATTATACTTTCAATAGATAATCATTTAATGAATAAAAAGCAACGAGAAAAAGAAAAAGCAATGACTAACAATGAAAATCCAAAGACTAATGTTTAACTTTTAAATTAGATTTTTGTTTTATTCCTGTGAGAAATTTTTATAATTCAATTAGTATATAATAAAGTGATATTCACTATATTCAATCAATATTTATTCAACAATTAAACCACAAAACAATTAGAATGATCTACAATTCATATAAAAACAAAGTTCTATTTCACAAAAAGTGACTAGAGTACAAGTCTTCAGTTTCTCACTTACGAAAAAAAAAAATTTTCAAATATTTATAATAAACTACTAATTGTAAAATTTCTTCGTTTAATTGCAATAGGTGCCGTATTATTTGGTAATGGACGTTGTAACCATGATGTTTGTGTTTTTAATGTACGTTCAATAAAATTTACACGATTTTGTACTTCTTTTAATTTTCTCATAAAATATGTTTGTAACCATTCCGGACCAATATCAGGCGTAAAAAATTTTAAACAAATACGTTGAAATGAATCAATAAAATAAATCATTTGATCTTCTAAAGAATATAATCGTTGTAAACATTCTTGACTACGTTTATAATGTATATAATTTTGACGAAGATGAATATCTGTTACATATAAACGTACAAATGACATTGTTTCATCATATACATGTGTAAGTCCATCATATTGATACATCATTTCATACATTTCATGACCTAAATAATACGTATTGATAGAATTTATAGTCTTTTATAAATAGAACTATTTACCTGGAAATGAACAAGATATAAAATTAATATCTGCTGATTTTTCCCATAATGGTGTTCGATCACATCCTAATAATGATCTTGAAATAGTTACATTTTGTGTATTATTTATATGACCATACACAATTGTTTGTAATGCATATGTAAGTGATGGTATAGATGATGGTAGAAGTTCACATAATGAAAGCATATGATCATATCGAGACCAACCAGTAACAGCAATACCAGTGAAATTAACTCGATGTCGAAATGATGCAGTATACATAGCCTCAAGCCAAGTTTGTTGATTACGTTGATGATGACCAATATAACTCATTGTTGTTATTTCACCAGATGAACCTTTAAATGAACTGGCTACCCAAACTTCATGAAACATTGAAAATCTATATATGAAAATTTATTTTTTATCAATTCTAATCAATTAACATTTGAAAGATTCTATCTACCCCATCCAAAATCTATCATCGAACCAAGTTTTAACATCATCAACATATGTCCATACCATCGGCACGACAAGTTCAACTAATTCTGTAATCTAATAAATCAAACAAAACTTATATGTTTTATTTATATTAAGTATATAATATCATAACTCACATTATTATAACCTGAGTTAACTATTTGTGAGAGCATATCATGCCATATAAATAGTTTAATATTTGGATGTTTTGATTTAATATATTTAGCAACACGAGTTACATGTCTAAAGATTAAAAGACATAATTTTATAAATATATATCAGAACTTATCGAATTCCAAGTCTAACAAAATTTTAGCTAATTTATCATTTAAAATACTATTATACCTGATAAAAAGATCGGCTTCATCACGAAAGTGTAGATTAACACATTGAGGATGAACTAGACGATAATAAACTTCATCACAACCCATATGAAGATATGGAATAGATGGATGTACAGATAACATTTGATCAATCATTTCTACAATAAATTATTAAATATTTTCGACATATAATAAATGATAAAATCATATGTATATCATCATTACAACATACAGACTATTAATATGGAATATTCTGTTTGTATATATACAAAAAAGATGAAACTACTATAAATCAATATCTGATCTATTTCTTAACTCAAAATAATGAATTTTATTTTTAAATACATATATATCATAACATACCAAATATTAATTTATAACTTTCTTCAAGACATGGTGTAATAACTTGTGGATATCGTCTATCTTCGCGTAAATGCATAAATTCTTTTAATTTAAGTACATATTCTAGATGACCATAAACTTGTAATAATGGCATTACTTTTAAATTATTTATTCTTGCT